TGAGAAAGTGGTCTAGTTTCAACCTTCTGCATGTTGCTGTCCAGTTCTCCCAGCACCATTTGTTAAAGAGACTGTCTTTTTTCCATTGGATGTTCTTTCCTGCTTTGTCAAAGATGAGTTGGCCATACGTTTGTGGGTCTAGTTCTGGGGTTTCTATTCTATTCCATTGGTCTATGTGTCTGTTTTTGTGCCATGGACCACTTTCTTACACCAGACACAAAAATAAACTCAAAACGGATGAAAGACCTAAATGTGAGACAAAAAATCCATCAAAATCCTACAGGAGAAAACAGGCAGCAACCTCTTTGACCCTGGCCGTGGCAACTTCTTACTTGACACATCTCCAGAGGCAAAGGAAGTAAAAGCAAAAATGAACTACTTTTCCAAAGAAGACATCCAGATGGCCAACAGACACATGAAAAGATGCTCAACGTCACTCATCATCAGGGAAATACAAATCAAAACCGCAGTGAGATGCCACCTCACACCTGTCAAAATGCCTAAAATTAACCACTCAGGAAACAACAGATGTTGGCAAGGATGCAGAGAAGGGGGAACCCTTTTGCACTGTTGGTGCAAATGGAAACTAGTGCAGTCACTCTGGAAAACGATATGAAGGTTCCCCCAAAAGTTAAAAATGAATAGGTAGGTAGGTAGTTAAAGAACTATCCTACAATCTAGTAATTGCACTACTGGGTATTTACCCAAAGAACACAAGAATACAAGAACACTAATTCAAAGGGATACATGCACCTCTGTGTTTATAGCATCATTATCTACAATAGCCAAACTATGGAGGCACCCGAGTGTCTATCGACTGATGAATGGATAAAGAAGATGTGGTATATGGTGTATACAATGGAATATTACTCAGCCATGAAAAACGAACGACATCTTACTTGCAACGACATGGATAGAGCTAGAGAATATAATGCTAAGTGAAATTCATCAGAGAAAGACAAATACCATGTGATTTTACTCATATGTGGAATTTAAGAAACAAAAGAGATGAACACGCAGGAGGGGGAAGAAAGAGAGGGAAGCAAACCATAAGAGACTCTTAATGATAGAAAACAAACTGATGGTCACCAGAGGGCAGGTGGGATGGTGGGAGAAATAGATGATGGAGATTAAGGATAACACTCAGGGGGAAAATTAAAACAATGTTTCAATGATTCATTCTATAATCATTGTGAATACAGCTATACAATAATTTCAATGTCAAAATTATTTTTAATGTAAAAAAAAGGGTTTATTCCTGTTGTCAAAAAAATAATCCTATTCAGTGATTTAAGTTCAAAAATAAAAAATAAACGAGCTCAATGCAACTTCCCATCAGTTCCTCCCAATCAGTGACTTGGGGGTATCTTTAAGTACGTGGATGCTGTAGCAGCTGTGTTGGAAAAGAATGATCTAGGAGCCATGGTAGTGAGGCTGGAGGCTAAGACAAACGCAAGCTTTGGAGTCAAAACCTATCCGGTCCGAACCACACCTCTGCCTCTGCTGATTGTGCGTATATCTCTGTACCCACCTGCTAGTCCACTGGCCTTCTCCCCTTGTACCAGCGAGCTCCCCCTGCTTGATGGCTCCACCATCCTCAGTGAGCCAGGCTCAACAACCGAATATTTTGGACTCAATCTCACTACGCTGTTCTCCAACCCCATCTCTACACGTTTGATGCCTGGCCCTGGCACTTCCCAGCTGTGTAACCTTTGGGAAGTCACTCAACCACTCGGATCTTCAGTCTTCTCATATGAAAATAGACATAATAATGTACCCAACTCAGAGGACTCTTACTTGTTACATGTACATGGCTTAGAGCGGTTTTCTAAACTGTAAGAATCTACCAAGTCAAAAATCATAGAAACTAAGACTCATTAAAGCTTTTAGGAGAAAAATATTATTTTCGGTCCAAGACAGACACATGAAATTCTCTAATTCTGTATTCTGTTTGAGGATACAGAAACTTTTAAATTCGTTGAATCAACTTTCTAAGAGATTTGTAAATTTCCTCACTGACTCAAAAGAAAATGCATACGAGGAATATTTATAAGAAATTAAAATTTTGGGGGCGCCTGGGTGGCGCAGTCGGTTAAGCGTCCGACTTCAGCCAGGTCACCATCTCGCGGTCCGGGAGTTCGAGCCCCGCGTCAGGCTCTGGGCTGATGGCTCGGAGCCTGGAGCCTGTTTCCGATTCTGTGTCTCCCTCGCTCTCTGCCCCTCCCCCGTTCATGCTCTGTCTCTCTCTGTCCCAAAAATAAAATAAAAACGTTGAAAAAAAATTAAAAAAAAAAAAAAGAAATTAAAATTTTTAACATACTTGCCATATCTTACCCAACTAAGTAAAAATGGTTATGTACTCTAATTATTTCAGCAAGTATTTACAACTCTGCGCATGTAAAGAAGAAAACGCACCTCAGCAGCACTGAAGAACGTGTCTAAGATGGACAGTCCATAACTTCTGTGGTCTTCGTCATCAGCCACTTCATATTCTGCCTGATGGTAGAGATGAGAACAAAGAAAAATGGTAGTTAAGCTTCGCCGGCTTCACAATGTTTCAAATTCTCTGACATACACAATTCACTTAGGACCCTACGAACCACAGAGTAGCTCTAACTGATTTGATATCGATCAAGGATCTGCAGCTCTTCTTTGGGAAACTAATGGCAACGAGGGGAGATAACAGTTTTCTTTAAAGGGTGAATAATGCAGTAGAGCAACACATCCAGTAATGCTCTGTCATATTACACTTTCAGCCCTTACATGTGGCCAAGTAAAATAGAATCAAATAAACAACTTGGGTTGTTCTAGGCAATAGCATTTTAGAAATGCCCAAGAGGCACTTCAGGAGAACCTGAGGGCAGAGCTCCCAGAGAAGTCACATCCCTTCACAGGTGTCAGATGAGGGACCTTAAGAGAGGACACTACCACACAGGCCAGAAAACAGAGGAAAGGTCAAGGCAGAACCTGATCGATATCTAAGCACCTACAAAGGATAGGCAAGGAAGAAGCAGAAGAAAGAGAAGAGAGAAAACCAGAGGAGAAATCATAAAAGCCTGGATAAGAATTTCAAGAAGAAGGTACTCGACAATGTCAACAGACCTGGAGACTCAGGCATGAGGAGGCCTCCGTGCAGCCACCGGGCTCTGCAAGTCGGGGCCTCAGAAGAGCAGTGAAACTAGCCAGATGGGGCCGAAGAGGTTGGTGAGGAAACAAAGACCAAAGGAAGTGCGTCGACTGAGCCTCACACTTGCTGCTGCATCCTCCCCAACACAGGAGCCACGGCCATCAGGCTGACGGCCAGCCAGAGCCAGCTTCACGTTTTGTGCTCAAGGGCACTACTCACCTTGACTGGGAACTAGACACTGTTTACTTAAAGAACCTTCAACTTACATTCTGGATGCTAGATGGCACATAATGAGTGGGAGAGAAAGCCCTGTGATTTTGTGACCATCTTTTGACACATCAGCCTGGCAGGCAGCAGTGTCCAGTTATTCCAACACGAATCTAGTCATTGCTGACCTGGGCTCTGCAGATGGGATTAAACTCTTTACCAGTGACTTCAAGTAAAGGATATTATTTTATTTTATTTTTTTAATTTTTTTTTTTCAACGTTTATTTATTTTTGGGACAGAGAGAGACAGAGCATGAACGGGGGAGGGGCAGAGAGACAGGGAGACACAGAATCGGAAACAGGCTCCAGGCTCTGAGCCATCAGCCCAGAGCCTGACGCGGGGCTCGAACTCACGGACCGCGAGATCGTGACCTGGCTGAAGTCGGACGCTTAACCGACTGCGCCACCCAGGCGCCCCGAAAGGATATTATTTTAGATAATCTGGGCGGGACTGATTCAGTCAGCTGAAAGGCACGTTAAGGCCAGAGCTGAGGCTTCCTCAGAGGAGTTCTACCTGAGGACAGCAGCTTCTCTCCTTTTGGAGGGTTCCCTCCTGCCCTACAGATTTCAGACTCTCCTGACCAGACCTCACAGTCATGTAAGCCAATTCCTCGCAATAGATCTCTTAATAAATATCTCCTCTTGGCTCTGTTTCTCTCACTGAACACTGACACAGAGGCCCTTAATTCAGTCAACAAACACGGAGCAGAGAAGAGAGCGAACAGCCATGCCAGGCGCCAGGAGGCAGAGAGATCAGACGCCATGTCTGCACTCCAGAAGCTCCAAGGACCTGTAACCGCCTCCCACAAGGGTGCTTCCAGGAGCAAGTGCCCCACACACGGCCTCATCAGGTGTCATCATCGCCCCACACAGCTAGCACCAAAACCAGACCAGAGCAGAACCTGTCACGCCAGTCAACTGGCAGTCCCCAGTCTCGTAACACCGCCAGGAGGTCCAAACCTGAACCAGCTTTAGCAAAGCAGCTTAGCCATTTTGAAATAAAGAAGAATCATAGGTCCTTAAATTCTTAAAATACAGCAGCTTGGCAAATGTAAGCCAATGCACGAAGACATATCCACACTCTACTCCTGGACAAGGGTAAGGCGTGCCCCACCACACCAAGTTCTGGCTGGAAAAAAAAATTACCTCCTTTCAATTTTTTTTTTTTTTCAACGTTTTTTTATTTATTTATGGGACAGACAGAGACAGAGCATGAATGGGGGAGGGGCAGAGAGAGAGGGAGACACAGAATCGGAAACAGGCTCCAGGCTCCGAGCCATCAGCCCAGAGCCTGACGCGGGGCTCGAACTCACGGACCGCGAGATCGTGACCTGGCTGAAGTCGGACGCTTAACCGACTGCGCCACCCAGGCGCCCCAAAAAATTACCTCCTTTCAAAGCCCTGTCTTATTCTAGTAAAGGTGCCAGGAAGGAAAGGGCTGCAGGAGCTCCAGGGAGAATAGGTAAGAGTCTCACACGTTTTTCTGAAAGAATTCAGGTGTACTCCATTCTATTGTGCTTTGCTTTATTGCACTTCACAAATAATGTGCTGTGTTTTTTTGTTTGTTTTGTTTTGTTTTGTTTTGTTTTGTTTTGTTTTGTTTTACAAATTGAAGGTTTGTAACAACCCTGCAACCAGCAAGTCTATTGGTGTCATTTTTCCAACATCACTTGCTCAGGTCATGTCTCCGTGTCATATTTGGAAATGTCTGCTATATTTCAAGCTTCTTCATCATTATTATGTTTGTTACGGTGATCTGTGATCAGTGCTCTTTGATGTCACTTGTAACTGTTTGGGGGCGACATGAACTGCACTCATATGAGGCTTGATAAATGCGGTGCGTGTTCTTACTGCTCCACGGACCGGTCATTCCCTCTCTCTCCCTCTCTTTCCTGGGACACAGCAGTATTGAAATTAGGCCAATTAATAACACTACAATGGCTTCTAAGTGTTCAAGCAAAAGAAGAGCCAATCAATGTGGCAAACTTGTGTTTTGTCTTATTGTGAGACACAGCCACAGACACCCCAAGTCAGCAACCCCCACCATGGTCAGTCAGCAGCCATGGAGACCAAAGCAAGACCCTCCACCAGCAAAAAGATGACAGCTTGATGAAAGGTCAGATGACAGCATTTTTAGCAGCAGAGTATTTTTTAATTAAGGTATATACATTGCTTTTTTAGAATAATGTTATTGTACAGTTGATAGATTACAGTATAGTGTGGACATAACTTTTTTTTAATGTTTATTTATTTTTTTCAAAGAGAGTGACAGAGGATCTGAAGCTGGCTCCAGGCTCTGTGCTGACAGCAGAAAACCCGATGCGGGGCTCGAACCCACCAACCATAAGATCATGACCTGAGCCAAAGTCAGGACACTTAACCGACTGAGCCACCCAGGTGCCCCTAGACATAACTTTGATATGCAACGGGAAACAGAAAAGTTCATTTGATTCACTTCATTGCGATATTCACTTGTAGGGACTAAGTTTAAGAATTCCCTGAGTTTGCACCAATGGGTTAACAGGACTCAGGGCGGAAAGCCACCACAGGGCAAAAGCGCCCCCAGTGTAGAGCAAAGCATGGAGGGGAAAGCCGCTTCCACAGGACGAAAGCGTCCGAGAACGGGTAGAAGTGGAAAGCCCCACAGCAGGATGAAAATGTCCAGAGCTAATTAGCAAGAAAAATGCCTTGTCAACCCTGGGGTAGCATGCTCTGACACTGCCGCTAGATAATTTAAGATAAACAGACACGGTGCCTGGTGCCTGCAGTAAACAGCCGTCTGCTCGGTGCCAGGACTTTGATTTGTGTTGACCCTAACCCCTAACACTGCATACCTTTGAAACCCCCTTCCTCTCACACACGAGTTAATGATCACTGTTTTATCGTCTCTTTCTGCATGTCCATCACATTTGTAAGCCTTCTGATCCTAGTGAATACGGAGCAAGGACCCTTACTCTGGGCTCTTGTCTCCTCTCCAACATTAGCCTGTCTCGTGTTTAATTCTGCATCCACTCTCTTGCTGGACAAGAGAGAACTCCAGACTCAAAGTCTGCAACATTCGCTTCACTGACATGGTCTGGAACTGGACCTGACCCGCAATATCTCCAAGTGTGCCTGCACTGACCATATGTTAGAAGGAGGGTCACCTGCTTCCAGACCCCAGCTGGCCCCAGACAACTGAAACCCGGAAGGCAAAACTGCAGACAAGAGGGAATATTATATAGGGACTTCCATACCAAGGTAACATGACACCAAGAAACTAGTTTATCCCCTCTTACCATCATTGCCAAGGTCTACTTAACTTAGATCAAAGTTTTTAGATCGAGTCTCTTAATTTTCTTTTTTAATTTTTTTTTTTTCCAAACGTTTTTTATTTATTTTTGGGACAGAGAGAGACAGAGCATGAACGGGGGAGGGGCAGAGAGAGAGGGAGACACAGAATCGGAAACAGGCTCCAGGCTCTGAGCCATCAGCCCAGAGCCCGACGCGGGGCCCGAACTCACGGACCGCGAGATCGTGACCTGGCTGAAGTCGGACGCTTAACCGACTGCGCCACCCAGGCGCCCCAGATCGAGTCTCTTAATTTTCAAAAGCACAAGACTGGGTGGTTCAACACTGAGATAAATTGCTCACCACTACGTCTAGGAATTTGATGTATATCTTTAGATCATGTCTTGTATCACAGAATTGCCTGAAGAGAAGTCTTCCTATTGGCTGCTTGTCACAAAGGCTGTTATAATCCTTTTCTGGGTGGAGAAAGGGGATAAGAAATGAACAAATATATTCATTACAATTCAGAAAGTGATTTTCTGAGCCTGCCATTTTCACCCGATAAAATAAAATCAATAATAGTATTTGCGGTATTTTTTTTTAACTACTGGTTTGTTTACTAATCTAGACTGGGTTATCATGAATATTTATAATCCATCCACAGAGCAAAAGGTAGCTGGAAGAATTGATAAAAGTGTGTGAAGCAAACTGGAAATGTCCCTGCTCCCCTTCAAAAGGATTTATGTAGGGGAGCAGTATTCCCTGGGGAACTGAGCAGTCAAGATCACAGTGAAGGAAAAAGGGGGCAAGAAAGAGACCTGGCCCTGTCCTTGTACAGGCCTACCCCCCCAGTGTGTTTGGGACAAATTGTATGTGGTGAAATACATGACAGGATGTACTAAATTACATTTTTTAAAATTCTTTGCCACTTTGCTACCATTTTACACTTTTACAAGTTACAAACATTATATATTCTTAATTATTTTTTTTTTAAAGACACACACTGAGATTTTATTTTATTTTAGAGAGAGAGAGTGAGTACGTGCGTAAGTTGGGGGAGGGGCGGTTAGAGGGAGAGAGAGAGAATCTTAAGCAGGCTCTATGCCCAGTGCAGACTCCTACTCTGGGCTCGATCTCACAACCATGAGATCATGACCTGAGCTGAAATCAAGAGTCAGACACTGAACCAACTGAACCATGCAGGTGCCCCTCTGCTTAATTGTTTTTCAACTGTTTTTTTTTTCTTTTCAGTGGGATAATATGTTATATACCTTAACCTTACCCCAAACACTGATACTGTTTTGAGAACAAGGCACTAATATTTAGTCAAAGTATCTAGAGGGATATAAAACAAAAATGATGGGAGTGCCAGGGTGACTCAGTTGGTTAAGTGTCCAATTCTTGATCTCAGCTCAGTTCTTGATTTCATGGTCGTGAGTTCAAGTTCCACAATGGGCTCCACTCTGGGCACAAAGCCTACTTAAAACAAACAAACAAACAAACAAACACAAAAATGTTATGTTCAAAATAGGCTAATTTAAAAATTGAGAAAATCAGTTGCTCTGAACCTGAAATGAACGTTATGTTCAGGTACTCTTTTTTTTTTTTAAATGTTTTTAAACGTTATTTTTGAGACAGAGAGAGACAGAGCAGGAACAGGGGAGGGGCAGAGAGAGAAGGTGACACAGAATCTGAACCGGGCTCCAGGCTCTGAGCTGTCAGCACAGAGCCCGATGTGGGGCTCAAACTCACGGAGTGTGAGATCATGATCTGAGCCGAAGTCAGACACTTAACCGACTGAGCCACCCAGGCACCCCTCAGGTACTCTTAAAGTGGCCCTAAAGCTGAAGAATTAAATAAAATTTGTGAAAAATAAGCAAGCCATAACAAATTCCTCAATTAACAGGTTTGTTAATGCCAAGTAATTAGTGGAATCTAAATCCGACTTTGGATCGCTGAATTTGCATAGAAAAGGATATGCAAGGATGTAGATATTTTGGTTGCCAGTGCATAATCGCTTGTTTCAACAAACAACAGTTTTGCAGAGGAAGGCGCTGCAAAGCCGATGGCCAGAGTTCAACATGTGCGGTGGGAGACCCCTGTGGGACATCCCGGGTTTAAGCACTGCTCCATAAGGACACCCGGGGAGCTCAGTCAGTTAAGCCTCCGGCTCTTGACCTCAGCTCAGGTCATGCTCTCAAGGTTTGTGGGATCGAGACCCAAGTGGGGCTTCGTGGAGACTGCTTAGGATTCTGTCTCTCCCTCACTCTCTGACCCTTCCCTGCTCTCTCTCCCTCTAACCCCTCCCCCGTTCATGTGCACACGGGCTCACTCTCTCTCTCTCTCAAAATAAATAAACTTAAAAAAAAAAAAAAAAGTTTTGTTTTGTTTTAAAAAGAACTGCTCCAGAGCCCAGATGTGGGGAAGAGAGTGACACAGGAGGAGGAAGCCACCGCAGCGGGTCAGGAGGGAACAGCCTGGCAGGGAAGACAACGTTACGCTCCAGCTTAATCTGGTTTATCTGGTAAAGCCAAACATCTGAAGTTTACGGGGGTGGGGGCGTAACTGTGGGTACATAGTTGAGATTGTTTTGCATTTTATATTTATATCATCCTTAGACGCTAAAAATACTTGGTTAGAGATGGATTCCATTCAAACTTTCCAAATTCATTTCTTGATTACCCTTAATTTCATCTGCAACTCTGTTAGATAGGAGTCCTTACTTGTAAGGGAAGCTACCTAAATGGCTCTACAAGTCTTAATTCCGGTTCAGCAGGAAGAACGTAAGATCCTAAAGCTCAGATACCGTATAAATTTCTATCCTAACTATAAAATCTCTGAGGAAATGATCACATGATGCAAGCCACATTTGCTGAAAGATCTTTAAAAACATAAACACAGGGTAAGAGCCCCTTGGATGTTTCTGGAAGGAAGCGGGGCAAAATCAAAGAGCACGAGGAGGTCTAGGACAAGGCCGGGTCACGTGACACGCGCCTCGCTCCGTCTGGAAAATGACGCTGCCGCCCTCTGCCCACAGCGCTGGGTAAGGGCAGGGACTGGGGGGACTCCCCACACACACCTGGCTGAACGGGCTGTCCATCAATGGGAGTTTGATTCTGGGGACAGGCCGGTCCTGCAGCGTGGTGAGCAGGCAGCAGGGACGTTCAGACTGGACAGCACTGATGTGGGCACCTCACGGGAAAAGGTCTAATTTTACCCAGTCCAATCGTCTTAGATTGGCTCAGGTACATTAGCAAAAACGATGCATGGCTCCAAAAGACCTTAATTCTAGTCCTCCCTTTGTATTTGGGTGGTGGGAATATAGGTGATTATTTAGTCAATAAAGTCCTTTTTCTATTTCAAAATATTTCATCACACAATTTTCTCCATCCTGCAGTAATTCAATATTTTCACACTGATGACATTAACAGCAGAACCCTAGAGAAATGACAGCAACATCACAAAACCCGTGGGAAGTAATATAATCAGGGAATTAAAAAAAAAAAAAAAGTTTCTCTAAACCAGTCGAAAACAAACCTGGCATTTAAATAATCACAAAAACTGTAAATCTATTTCCTTTTACCTTATCTGGCTCACAATTCTATTGATGATTTCACCTTTCCATGCATTAGATTTCACATGTTACTAAATCAAACACCATAAACCACAGAGATGCGCCACGAAATATGTGTCAGAAGCAGCAGCCACCCTCTTTCCGTCTTCCCGTCAGAAGCCCTGGTCCTGCAGGAACCGGAAGATCCAGCTTCTTCTTTTGACCCCTCAGAGGCTGCACAGTGAACCATCTACTGTCCCTGCCATGGGTGAGCAGACGCCCCACAGGGAGTTCAGGCCACAGAGAGGGGAAGAGCCCTGCCGTGGTAGACAGGGACAGGGAGGGCCAGCACCGGAGACTTCCAGGTCGGAGCCCTCAGGGCACCAGAGTCAAAGCCCGCTCCCCGAGAGGCACTCTCCCATGGGCAGCGTAGGGAGGGGAGCCAGCCACATGAGACACTGGGGTTTCTAAGTGCACCAAATTCTGAGGCAAGGATGAGCCACTTACCAAAAGCTCTCTTGCTTACTTTCAAAGTGATCCTCCTTCAGTAAAAACACTAACTCTAAGTTTTATAGCTCATGGATTCTCTACAAGCCACCAATTTAGAACAACCAAAGGATGAACATTAGAAAGACCCAGCATGCGCCTACTACTGCACCAGATCAAACACACACGTAAACTAATAAAATAAACGAAGAGCTGCATACAAAGTAGAGGGTATCTGAGTGGAAACATCGTTTTATTCAGTGAGAAAGTCGGCTTGTACATCTTCCCTGAAGCAACTGCACTAATGTCACCAATTCACCCATTCCTTCATTCATTCACTTCACAAAACTGTGGGTGAAACAGAGACCTTGACCTTGGGATAAGTCCAGTGGCCGCTTGACCTCTCCGCTGACATGCCCACCAACCTGGAGCCACCCTGGCCCCCAGTTCTCTGGACCCATCCACTCCCCAGACTGCGCACAGACCCCCCTGGGTGTTCCTCCTTGGTCTGCTTTGCCTGAGCCACACCAGGATGTGAGGTCCTCTGAACCTGGTCAAGGGCCCTTTCTCCTCTTCCTGTCTCTAGGGAGAGCTTATCCACTCCCAGTCATGACTGCTAAACGCCATTGGGACACAGATCTCTCCCAGACCCAAACTCTTCCGATCTCTAAACATGAATGTGCCCCTTCCGTCCAAACAGAGCTCCTCACACCACGGACCCGATCTCAGTGGGCGGACCAGACGTGGAAGCCACCCTTAGCACCTCTACCCTTCCTACCTCCACATGTAAATCCAACTGATTCTACTTCCTAAACATCTCTCATGGCCGTCCAATTTGGTCCCCTCCATCCCATGCCAAGCTGCCATCATTTCTTGCTCACACAAGGGCGACAGTCTCTCCCATGGCCTTCCTGCCTCTCTATCTACCCTGTCAATTACATGCCTCACCCTGAAGCCTGAGATGCCCTCCAGAGACGTGCGTCTACTTACATCATCCCTCTGCTGGAACTCTGACAACGCCACCTTTCTAATGAGATGAATGCCTTTACCAGGACTACAAACCCTGCCTCCCTCCTCTCCTCTCCTCCAGTGCCACTTTCCTTCTCCACCTCTCTGCTCTGGTACGACTGGCCTTTCCGATGTCCCTGGGAATTGCCGTGCTCCGTCTCACTTTGGGGCCCTTGTACTTACCCAGCAGGTGAGAACTTTTCCTTCAGAGGGCTTACTGCAATTTGTAATTATGCTTATTTCTGCAATGATTTATTTCATAACTATCTCTGCCAAGAGGTCAGAAGTCATGTCTGCTTCTTAGCCACTGTTATTGGTGGCACCATTCCCAGTGCTTGGTACATAGAAGCAAATAAATGCTGACATTTAAAAGTTAACTAATGGAGTGGTACACCTTAGGCTCATACAATGTTATATGTAAATTATATCTCAATAAAAATAAAATTAATTTTTTAAAAAATGAAAATAAAAATTAATTTTAAATATAAAATATAAATAATAAATATAAAATAAAAATAAAAATTAATTTTTAAAAGCATGAAATGGCGGGGGGGGGGAAGGTTAACTAATGGGATATTTAATCTCATTTACTTCATTCTATGTACTAAAAACTACCCCCAAAGAATCAGAAGTATACAGAGGTAATTTATATGCAAATATACATGGATATATTTCTATGATCCTATAAATATATTCAATAGCATAAATAACCCCAAAGTAAAGCTTATAATATCTTAATTATAATGCATGCATCAAATAATGGAATGAATCTTTGTATTAATCACTTGGGGCTACATGCAGAGAAAAATTACTATTAACACTATGGATCAAGTATCAGCTGACCCAAAGAAGCATGGCCAATAATCACATAAAAAGATGCTCAACATCATTCGTCATTAGTGAAATGCAAATCACACCGGCTAGGCTAACTATAATGAAAATAGCGTTGGCAAGGATGTGGAGAAACTGGAACTCTCGTATGTTGCCGGTGGGAATGTAAAATGTGCAGCTGCCTTTGGAAAACAGTTTGCCAGTTCCTCAAAAGGTTAAGAAAAAGTTAAGCTTAGAGTTACCATCTGTAATAGGCTGAACAACAGCCTTCCCAAGGTATCAGGTCCTCATCCCTATAAATAGGACCTTATTTGAAGGAAAAAAAAAAAAAAAAGAGAGAGCCTTTGCAAATATGATTATTTGCAAGGATCTTGAGATGGACGACTGTCCTGATTATCTGAGTGGGCCCTAAATGCAAACACGTGTATCCTTACAAGTGCCCAGAAATAAACATTCACCTTCACAGTCAGTTGATTTTGATAAAGGTACTAAGACAATTCAATAGTCATTCAATGAATGGTTCTGGAACAACTGGATATCCAATGCAAGAAAATGAAACTGGATCCCTTAAAAATGGCTAAAATGGTAATTTTAATGTGTACTCTACCACAAACACAAACACTTGTACATCAATGTTTCTAGCAGCATTATTCATAATAGACAAAAAGAAAAAAAAAAGGAAGCAACTCCTCTATCAACTGATGAATGGATAAACAAGAAGTGATATAACCATACAGTGAAATGTTACTTCCCAAGAAAAAGGAATTAAGTACTGATTCATGCTACCACATGGATGAACCTTGAAAACATTGTGTTCGCTTCTAGAGAGATGATTAGTTGGGTCATGGGGAGAGGAAATTTTACTATATTACTCTTCTGTCCTATATAGAACAATGTGCACATATTACTTCTTAAAAGAATAACACCTAACGAATGGTACAGTGCCCAACGTGGGCCCCAGACTGGCACTATTTACTCACCAATGGAACATCTAAGCTCGCTGCACTGGCTGACAGGGGGCAGCTTCAGCATTTCCCTCCATTTTTTACTACGACCTCTTTTTTTGCCATATCCTCCTAAATTGGGGGAAAAAAGTATTTTTTTAATGATCAGAAATATCCAATATCTGTTTGAGTAGTTCGGTACCCATCGCGAGTAAAAATACAGTCTTAAAACAATTGGTCTTATCTAGAAGTCAGCTTGACAGAGTATAAAAATCCCAAGTGATACAATTAGTCACCGGCTCTATCATTTAGAAACTGTGTGACCTTGACCTTCCATAAGTAACTCTGCTGAGCCTCGGCTTCCAAATTTGTAAACCGGACGTAACATATCATACATGGCTGCATACCTAGTATGAATCAAACACCTGCAAAGTACAGGAAATACAATCCCACCCTTCCATTCTAGTGCGGGAGGTTTTAAAAAAACAACCAAAAAGCAGTTAATGATAAGTGATTAAAATATTAGCCAATCACACAGTGCTAAGTGGTATGAAACAAAATCAAGCAAGGTGAAGGTGAGATCAGAGAAGGCCTCTCAAGAGGGTCAAGCTTAGGCAGAGGCGTGAAGGATGTGAGGGAGTGAGTCTCTGGAAGATCTGGACGAAGAGTGTCCCCTAGAGAGACAAGAATGGTGGGAAAAGCTCTCAGGTCGTGTTTTTAGCAGATGGCAGGCACACTTGCGGTAAGCGGAGCATAGAGAGGCAAGAGTCTGTATGTTGTTTGTACATCTGAAACTAAGGTAATGTTGTGTGTCAACTATACTCAAATAGAAGAAAATTTTTAATAGATAAGTAATGAAAATCTAAAAAGATAATATTTTAGAAAGATCTTTTTTTTTTTTTTAATTTTTTTTCCAACGTTTATTTATTTTGGGGACAGAGAGAGACAGAGCATGAACGGGGGAGGGGCAGAGAGAGAGGGAGACACAGAATCGGAAACAGGCTCCAGGCTCTGAGCCATCAGCCCAGAGCCCGACGCGGGGCTCGAACTCACGGACCGCGAGATCGTGACCCGGCTGAAGTCGGACGCCCAACCGACTGCGCCACCCAGGCACCCCTAGAAAGATCTTTTTAAATAAGCGCCTTAAAAAAAAAATTTGGAACGCCTGGGTGACTCAGTTGGTTAAGCATCCTACTTGGGCTCAGGTCATGATCTCATGGTTTGTGAGTTCGCTCTGTGCTGACAGCTCGGAGCCTGGAGCCTGGAGCCTGCTTCGGATTGTGTCTCCCTCTCTCTCTGCCCCTCCCCTGCTCTCTGTCTGTCTGTCTCTCAAAAATAAACATTAAAAATAAAACCTCAGAGAAATTAGAACCTTCCATTTTAAGCCTTCTGAGGAGCTGAAATTTTACCAAATTTCATCCAAGAGAAAATATCACAGTTTTGGTGAGTGTGATTAGAAAGAATGGGGAAAGCCACGTTCCGGGAAGTGACGAGCTCGGCCTTGACCACCGTGAGCAGAGAACTGAGAGAAAGCCACCCGGAGGACAGCGGCATGGGCGAGCTCAGGAGAGAAGGCCTGAGCTGGAGACGCGGATTCGACGGCCAAACGGATACTGTTTGGACACGCAGGGGCTTCTTCCGTGGCCTTTTTGCTCCTCCTCTTACCACCCCTCCACCACCCCATTGCAACTGGGATCGGGACTCCGGACTTGTATCGCGACTGTAGGCTACATACACAGAGGTCCCAGAACACCTCAAGGTCAACATGTTCAAATCAGACTCCATTTATCTTCCCCTCGAATTCAACCCTCTTTCCACACACTATGCCTCGAGTGGAGCTGGAAACTGCAGCACTAATTCTCTCTCTGAAGTGCCCCACCCATTTATTCAGAAAGCATTTGCAGCTGAAGTCCCGTGTGCGGGGCACTGTCCGGGCACCAGGCACACAGTGGAGGGTCAGGTGGCCAGCGCTGCCTTCAGAGGCTCTCCTGTCCCCTACTCTCCTTGCCCACGCTATTAAAAGATCATTAGCCTCTTCTTCTGACTGGCCTTCCTACCTCTGGTCTTCCCTTCCAGAGCCTCCTCCATACTGCCTTCCACGGTTACTTTCCTAAAATGCAAGTAACAGCCCCCTCCTGAGTCGAGGGATGAAGCAGAATAGAGCACAGCCCTGCCTACCATCATTCCACAGGCACACCATCCCCGAGCCACACTGTCCACAAAGGTCCCAAAGAAGCAAAAGCAGGTTCCATCCTGGACTGTCACTCTGGGCTTATTACTGTAGGCAAATCTCTACTCAGCTCAGGCAGAACCACCCCCACACAGCCTGCCCCGCCTTCCTAGGGAGATGCAGGGACTCCTTCCTCTCCATACCTTTTGCATCTTGAAAACATCTTCATTAAATCTCGATGGCAGGTTCTAGGTTAGTGGCCTCACTCTCAGTGTATCTCCAGCATTCAAAAAATGATCAAAGGAATAAATAAATGGACCTCCAGGTGCCCAGCACACTACGAGCAGTATACCGCACACAGCAGACACTAAAGGAAAAAGCTGGAGAGGGGCGCCTGGGTGGCTCAGTCGGTTAAGCGTCTGACTTTGGCTCAGGTCACGATCTCGCGATTCATGAGTTCGAGCCCCGCATCCGGCTCTGTGCTGACAGCCTGGAGCCTGTTTCGGATTCTGTGTCTCCCTCTCTCTCTGCCCCTCCCCTGCTCATGCTCTGTCTCTCTCTGTCTCAAAAATAAATAAAAACATTAAAAAAAAATTAAAGGAAAAAGCTGGAGATGCTGACTACAGAGTATGGGTCAGAGGAAGGATGATACTGCCAAGGTCTAAGAGGAGGAGGAAGAAGTTAGTTTACTGAGTATTTATTATGTGCTGGGCACCTTTCCAGAAGCATCATAAATATATTGACTCATTGAATCATCCCTCATCCTATGATGAAAACACTACTACTATTCGATTTTCTCAGATAAGGGACCAAAGCAAACGGGTCACATAACTTGTCCAACATGCCACAACCAGTGAGATGCGTGGGTCTGCCCCACTCCAGGAATCCTGTTTAATCATTACTGCTATTAAGAAGAAAAATGGTGTAACAAAGCCTTTTTTTAAAAGTACACAAACATTTAAAATAATTTGCCGTAAACACATTTACAATTAAATCATGTTGTGAAATGAAAATAATATTAAACCAACATTTCCCAAACGTTGGAAGTGGTTATGGTGACGGCCCTAATACCAGGCAGCCCTGACTGTAAGCTAGCCACTCCGCTAGAAGATCCCGGTCTGCTCTCACTAGATCCTCCCATCAACCCTACAAGGTGAGTACTGCTGCTATACAGGTGCAAAGTTGTTTCAATCCTAATTTTATAGGTGAGGAAACTAAGGCACAGGTATGTGAAATAATTGGCCCAAGGCATTATAAGCAGTAAACAGAAAAGCTGGGATTTGAGCCCATGTAATCACACTGGCCGAATGGGGACATCCCCTTTGTCACAATAGCTCAGTTTTTCTATCGGTAATTAGGACCACCAAGGGAAATGCATCCGGTGACCAAGAACTGGACCGAATAGCTCTCTGGCCTACAAATTCTGCTGGATGTTAAGAGGTTTAGGACTTGGTTTTCTACTATGAATACCATAATTGTGTTTATAACATATTCTGGGATATTATATACCATCCTAGTACAAGACACGCAGAAAATCACAATCATTAACTTGGCGTGTGTTATCCCATTCCATTTGTAAATCTGTGTGTGTGTGTGTGTGTGTGTGTGTGTGTGTGTGTGTGTGTGTGTGTGTGTATGGCTTTGAACACTATATTGCTTTAGAGGAAGATTCTTTTTTGTTTTGTCTTGTTGTTTTTATTTATTTTTGAGAGAGAGACACACAGACAGACAGAGCACGAGTAGGGGAGGGAGACACAGAGTCTGAAGCAGGCTCCAGGCTCTGAGCTGTCAGCACAGAGCCCGACGTGGGGCTCAAACCCACAAACCGTAAGATCATGACCTGAGCCTAAGCCAGATGTTTAACCGACTGAGCCACCCAGGCCCCCCTGGAGGAAAATTCTTAACCTGGCATCCACAGGCCGATATCAGGGTGTCCCTGAATTTGGACAGAAAAAAACTCACATTTAGCTTCACTAACTTCTGGCCAAAACTCATCATTTCTGTCAACCACAAATGTAGGCAAGAGTACCACAATATTAGTAGTACCTGTGACTTCATCACCAAGAAAATTCGGATTTTTCTATCATGTTACAGTTGTCAGAAATAACTCAAAATGTCATTTACACTCACACCGCTTTGAAATTACAACATTGGTGCCAGATCGTCCACAAGGGCTCAGGTGACGGGGCCAAGCAACCCCTAGGCAGCTCTGTGCCTGGTCGTTAATCGTTCAGACTCCAAATGGCAGGTCCCACGCTCTCACGTGGATTGTCTAGTGACTCCCTACGACTGTGTTGATGGACGCACGGAAGCAGCTGTGTCAAAGGCCACCCCACAGCTTCAAAGCCCCACTCGGACTAACCAATGACACCCTTCACACGGACAGATCTTTAAAGGACAAGCCTTTGGGGCGCCTGGGTGGCGCAGTCGGTTAAGCGTCCGGCTTCAGCCAGGTCACGGTCTCGCAGGATCTCACGATCTCGCGGGATCTCGCGATCTCGCGGTCCGTGAGTTCGAGCCCCGCGTCGGGCTCTGGGCTGATGGCTCAGAGCCTGGAGCCTGTTTCCGATTCTGTGTCTCCCTCTCTCTCTGCCCCTCCCCCGTTCATGCTCTGTCTCTCTCTGTCCCAAAAATAAATAAAACGTTGAAAAAAAAAAAAATTTTAAAGGACAAGCCTTTAACTTGCCTAGGTATTGCCTTGCTGCTTAATGCTCGGATAACAAAGCACTTCTTATAACACTAATCCATTAAATTTTACAATTATTTCAATATAATTGACTTCTGTTACGATCATATGTCTACTATTTTATTGAGATTAAGAACTCCTACTCTAGAGGTTGCTAAATGAGCAGGAATGGTGTGTTACTGCATACACCGCCCTACGACTTTTCCTACACAGCTCAGGCCATTTTGACGCAGGTTACCCACTTGTCCCAGGTGGGCTCCATGCTCCTCCTACCCCCAGCCCCCAGCCTCCAGCCTCGTGACCTTTGCCTTCTTTGTTTCATGGCCCAAAAAGCTCTTCCTCAGCAAAGC